AAAATACACAAAACAACACAAGACATCTTGGCCTTTGTAGACCTTTTCTGATCTGTGGAAAATAGGACCTCATTCCTCCATCAGCAGCTTCTTTCAATTCCTATTTCACTGGGGACTTTTGCATTTGTCCCTAGGTTTGCCTGGTGAAAGCTTCAACACGGGACAATATTAGTTAATGAGTAATACACAGCTATTCACCAGTTTCACACTTTCAAGTCCTTTTTATGGAGTTTCTTACTTCAAAGCAGTGTTGTTCTGCCCGTTTAAGGAAATTATCCACAACACCACACAGAGAAAGTGTTACAGTAAACTGAGGTAGTCTCAATTTATATTGTAACTCCACACATGTTGTTTGGAATAACGGGAAAACCCAATAGGAAATGCTAATTCACACTGGGTTTCTGGGAGTTCCAGATTTCAAGAGAGATCTTTTGAGCTCTTCTGAAGTAATCTTCCTCAAACTGTAAGTTGTACTATTATAAGACTTAAGTTCTTCCCATTTCCTTTTTAAGGCTAAAATTAAACTTGCCCATTCCTTGGGGCCCAGAGGAACATCTGCCAGATGTCCAGGCATCTATGTTGAACAATAGTCATCTACTTGTCAACTCTCTTTTTAATCATCCTTTTATCGGTCTTCATAGAAGTCAATTCCTCTTTTAAGTCAAAGTGCACAATGCTAACGAATTTTGTTATAAAGGTCACTGGATTGGAATGATCGTATTTTTTTTCCATTTCCACTTGCAGTTGCCTTGCTTTCCCTTTCCAGCACCCCATTATGTACTTATATTCTTCACACTCCAAGCATACACATTATTGTATTTTTAGTTTTCTTCTTGCAATAAAATAGTATTTTTAATTATGGAAGGAAATTGTAGACATGACATCTTAAGTTTCTCAACAACATAACCTGGTGTGAGGCTAGTGAAAATGTAAAATGAAATCAAATAATTCTTTAAATATGTTTAAAGCAGTGGTTCATAGGCTATGTCTAGTAGGTGTGAGAAAAGTGATTAAGAAAAGCATATTTAAATACTGGAGAATAAGTTACCAATGCTTACTCTTTCTATTAGAGATTGGACCAGTAAAAGATTCTGTGTGCCCCAAACCAAAAGCAATTGAAAGCCATTGTCTGAATGAAGAAATTTATGCCTGATTAGGAGAAACAGTCATGACACCACCATGGCATGAATTAAGATCATCTTTCTGGAGCTCCTTTAAAAACCAATGGGTTTTGGGGTTTTTGTTTGTTTGGGAGTTTTTTTTTTTTGTCGTTTTGGGTTTTGTTTTTTGGGTTTTTTTTATAAAAGTTCTTCAGCTAGAATTTTAACAGCAAGGCGAACTTCAGTTTGTCTGGGCAGAACCACAGCAAGAACCACCATCAACAAGAACTTAATTTTCTGAAGAGGTTTCAGTCTCACAGTGAGGAAACCCAGAAAAAAAAAAAAAAAAAAAAAAAAAAAAAAAAAAAAAAACCAACAAAAAACCAACAAAAAAACCCCATTAAAACTACTGCAATGTGGTTTGGTTTTCTAGGGCGTTAAGAAGCCCTCCCAAAAAGATCCTGATCTTAAATCTCAGAGCTGTTCTTGGACTGCACATGCCACGTTCAAGGGCAGGTATCTGCAGGGCACCCTGTAGTGCCAGCACTGGGCTGACCTCCCCAGAAGTAAGAGGAGATTCACAGCTCTGAACCACAAGCACTCTGCATAAGGTCCATATAGGGGAGGGATATTTGGGATCTGACCCAAATAAGCAAAGGTCAGTGGGCAATTTTTCAATTTTTCTTCAACGGCCGACTTAGACCTGTGCAGAGGTCTGAAAAATCCATCACCTCAAGGGGGGAAACAAAAACCAAAACACCACAACAACAGCAAAAACAAACAAACAAACAAAACCCCAAAACCAAAAGCAGTTAGCCTCTCTTTTTGTCAAAATATAAGACTAAACATACCTGAAATGGTATGTTCCTTGGCCTTCTTCTGAAAGATGGCGACAACCAGAGAATCTCAATAATTTGGGTGACACATCAGCAACCAGAACTTAAGAAATGCACAGTTGATAAAGCAATAATATCCTTCCGAGGTATATTAGATCACACATTAAAACATTTCTTCCACAGCAAAAACAAAACAAGAGCATTGATTTTTAACCTCTAAGACGGATCTCAAGTTCATCACCCGTCACTGCAATCCTCAAATCTTTCTGGTTTTTTGCACATCTGGGAGGGTGTTCTGATTCAGATTCACTGGTCCCCCATCCTGCCTCTTAACATCTTCCCTTATTTGTTCTTAAACGCCTCAGAATAATCAATGCATGGACATCACTGACACCCTTCCATGGAGCTGTGCCTCCAAGCTCAGCAGCACCGCACCCCAGTATCCCCCTGATGCATTCCAGGATGTATTTTGAACTTTTTGAGGAACTGCATCTACTGTGCAGCCGATGTGCAGATTTCAGTGGGTGGGAAATGACCCGAGGCCTGCTTTGGGTCTACTCAAAATCGCTTCAGATTAAAAGGTGGGTTAAAAACAAAGCACACGAATTCCTGCTCAACTGCTATCTCGCTTTAAAGATCTCAGGTTTCCATAATGACATTAAAATCACAGTAAGAATGTTGCCGTAAGTTTTCAGGAAAAAACAGTATTTTATGACACCAAAAAAGACAGCTGTGAAAACTGTTTTGCTTTTTCCAGGAGAAATTATGTATGTTATGATGCTCTGAGGAACCTACTAAAAGCTTGCCAGTATCACTTTAATGCAACCTAGTGAGTGGGGAGAAATATTCCATCTTAATTTAAAACACATCCAAAAGAAGGAATGCTCTTGAAAATGAGATGTTAAAAATCCCAAAAATTAGGCATCATCATGTAGGAAAAAAAAGAGACACTTCATGATACCCTCTGGAAGAACCTGAGCAGCCTCAAGCTGCACGCACTTACCTCCAAATGCTTTCAGAAATCTAAAAATATATGCTTATATACACTATTTACTTGGCCAACTGATCAACCTCCACAATCCTGTGGTCTTTAACCAAAGAAAAATATCTAGAAAGGTGACCTCCGCATGAAAGCATCAGAGAAAAAAAGCCTGAGGATGTGTTTCTCTGTGTGAAGGAGAATCTGAGCAATTTCCTCCAATCCTCATTTCCTGATAGCATGAAGACAGCGAGAAGACCCATCACAATGTTGTGCATTGAAAAATCTGAAGGGGAAAAAACCTTAGGGGGAAAAAATCATGATTAAGCCAGCTCCTGCTCCAGCAAAGCCTCAAAACATGGAGAGACATCCACAATGTTAGGAGCACTTCCCATCTCAGCTTTGTCTACTCTCTCTCTCCTCCATTTTCTGGTGGAGCTAGAGAACATGACATGGCTTACCTGACTCAGATCACAGCTCTCTGCCAAACTAGTCACTTCCTCTTAGACATGCAAGCAGCTTCATGAGACAAACAGACCCCCACAGACGCACACACAAAAGCAGGAGCGGAAAGCACTCAAAACTTGGAGGTCTCTCCCCTTCCAAACACCAGAGAAACAAATGAAACTTTTTGCCTTTTTCTCCCCCAAAAAAAGAGGGAGGTGAAGGGAAGGGGGGGAGGAATCCTATCAGATCACAACTACATGAAGCTCCAGGAGGATCTCTGTGTGAGGAGAAGAGAAACCACAATGCTGAGGGGAGCCGGGGGGCACGGGGGGGGGAAGGAGAAGGTTACTCCAGAAGACATAAAGAGCCTGTGGACTCTGTGTGTGTGCATGTGAGCGAGAGCGAGGAGAAGCTTTGTGTTGTGGAGCCTGGACTGGAACCAAAGCAGACAGCTTGCAAATGGAGGACAGGGAGATAAAGAAAGGGAAAGAGGGGGAGAGATAGGGAGAAACCTGCTCCGGGTGGGTTGAGAAAGGGGCAGGGGAGAAGGCGCCTTCTCCCTTGCCTGGTTTAAAGGTAGGGACATCGGGGAACTGAGCAAGTAGAAGTGGGCTCCTTCCCCTTCCTTTCTTCCCTTCTCGCTCTCCTTTCTCTCAGAGGAGAGCACAAGCGTGTGTAATGGCTCCTGCTCTCCAGCTGAACGCTGTCCTCCTCCAAGCCACCTCCTGCGGGCACCACCAGCCCCCCCCAGCCCCGACGCCGCCGGGGACCCCCGCATCCCAACTCCAGGAGAGCCGCGGTGGGGGCACCACGGCCGGGGTGTGAGGGACCAGCCTCGCCAGCGGCGAGGAGGGCAGCGAGAGGGGACGAGGAGAAAGAGGAGGAGGGGGAGAGTGGCTGGGAGAAAGGAAGAAAGAAAGCAAGAAGGAGAGAAAGAAGGAAAGAAAGAGAGAGAGAAGGAGAGAAAGAGAGAAAAGAAAGAAAGAGAGAAAAGAAAGAAAGAAAGAAAGAAAGAAAGAAAGAAAGAAAGAAAGAAAGAAAGAAAGAAAGAAAGAAAGAAAGAAAGAAAGAAAGAAAAGAAGGAAGGAAGGAAAGAAGGAAGGAAGGAAAGAAGGAAGGAAGGAAGGAAGAAAGAGGTCACCCGATTGCCTGGGTCGTGCCAGCACGGAGCTTTTCTCTCCTCCGTGTGTCTCCCGTCTCTGATCCAAGTCCACACGCACAGCACCATCCAGACCTCGCACACACACACACATAGCCTCTCAGGCACCCCCCACCCCGAAAGCTCGGCTGGTATCTCACTTATCTCCCCATATTTCCCCCCCACCACCACCAGCACCTCCTCCTCTTCTCCTCCTCCATGCAAGAGACTTCTCTCTCAAACAAAACACCCCGCTCTCGCTCCCCTCTCTTCTCTCTCTCTTTTTTTTTTCTTCCTTTCTTTCTTCCTCCTTCCTCCGTTGACCGAATGAATGGATTTCAGAGGAAGGTGGTGGAAAGAAAGACAGACATAAAAGACCAAACAAAATAACACGCGCACAGACACACACACAACAGAGACACACACACACACACACACAAAAACGAGAGATGATCTCTCCAATGCCAAACCAGAGATGGGTTTTAATTGCAAGAACTTACAGGAGCGTCCCGGCACTGCTGCTCTTGCTGCTGCCTCCTCTCCTCTCCTCTTCCTCTCTGCCTAGCTCTTCTTGTTATTGTTGTGGAAGTTGTTTTGTGAGTCTCATGTGCTCCTTGCCAGGTCTCAGCAATGGAGGATCGCCATCTTTCCCTGCTTTTCCCCCCCTCTCTCTCTCTCCCTCTCCCTCTCTCTCTCTCTCCTTCACTGGTTTGCTGCAGCTGCAGATGACCTGAGATATCCGTCTCTCTCTCTCTCTCTCTCTCACCCTCTGTGTCTCTCTCTGAATAATGAGCAACCAGAGGGAGAGAGAGAAAGAAGACAATCTCCTCTCCTACCACACAAAACGCAAGAGCACCAGGGGGTGCAAGAATCCTTTCTAACAACAACAACAACGTGTAGGGGAAGAGGAGGAAAAAGAGAAAGAAAAGAGAAGAAAAGAGAGGAGGAAAAGGCAAGAAGAAAGAGGAGGGAGGTGGAAGAGGAGGGGGGAAAGCAAGCAAGCGAGAGAGATCCAGCAGGCAGACAGATGGAGGAGAAGATGGTAGTGATAGAGGAGGAGGTGTTGAAGATGAAGGAGATTAAGAGGAGGAAGGTGGTAACAAAAAGTTAAGGTTTGGGACACTGAATCACTCACAGGCCAGGGAGGAGGAGAAGAAGGGGGAAAGATCTGAAGATCTTCCCCTTCCAAGCTGTTGCCTTCACAAAGCTTCCTGTGCAGGAGCGCTCAGCAGCTCCTGCGATGCTGGGGGAGCCGCTGGGATGGAGCGCTCTGCTGGGTCATAGCTCTCTTCCAGCCATGACAAAAACCGGTTTCTGCATGCAGATCTGCCCCCGAGGTGATCCCTCAGACACATCCATCTAGAGGCTAATCTTCCCTGAGCAGGGTAAAGAACATAAATGGAGCTGGAGGTTGCAAAGTATAAAACCAGATCTACCACGTGGTTGGTTTTTAATCCCCCTTCCAGCTCGCATTTGATGTGGAGAAAGGACAGTCAAATTGTCCATTTCTGGCACGTATTTTGAAGTCTACTCCTGGAAATAAAGACAGTCATCTCCAGGTTTTTTATTTCTCACAAGCGTTTGGGAGAAAAGAGAGCTTGCATTACTATCACCAAAATCACTTCTACATTGGTGAAACATTTTTTTTTTTGGCCGCAAAATAAAATAAATAATTCCACTTAAAACAACTTTTATGCCTCCCAACACCTAGTTGTCTGCCCCTTTGTGACTGATTATTTAAAACCGTGGAAACTAATGATCAAGGCTCACAAAGAAAGGTATCTGGGTGATGAAGGCAAGCAGACAAAGACAAAGCGGCTGTAGCCTGCATTTTTATTTAGTCTCGTTTCTATTAAGCATTGTCCTGAGCTACTTCTTTTTGCTCGACACCCCCACCTCAGCGCAACCCCCCCCCCCCTCCTCCTCCTCCCCTCCAGTCTTTCCACAGCACCAGGTCAGATTCTTTCTGGGGTTATGTCTAGCGAGGAAAGGGGGATGGGGGTGGAGGGGCGGGAGGAATTAGGGTTTACGTGCAGACTCAGTAAATCAATACGCGGGAGTGAGGCAAAATCAATTTGAGCACAAGGGCATGACTGGTATTGGAACATCACTGGGGTTTCTCCAGCTCTCCAGCTCTGCAGTTTTGCATGGCTGGAAGAGAGACTAGAACCACGGAGCTCCGGTTCGGGTGGAGGGGGAGATCCTCCCCTGCTCCGAGGAAGTTTACACGTGAGCGGGGAACCTGAGGTGATCTCCTGGAAATTTTTTGAGTTCAGGTTTTACTGACTCTGGGAGAAGTCAGTGGTGTTAGAACTTCATTGTCTGTCTCAGCTCAGCTGAAGACCAAGCGCAGGAATACTAACCATATCAATAAAATAAAATAATAAAAATCGGTCGCCCAGGTAGTGGTCAGATATTAAACCCATGCATCCTCCGATCTTCCCATCCGCAAGAATGCTGTGAGTACAAAGCACACATGCAGGATCTCTCCCATAAAATCTTCTTTTTCTTTGAGCCGTGCAAGTTAATGACTAAACAGGAGAAAGATCTTCTCCCTCCTCCTCCTCCTCCTCTCCCCTCTTTCCGCTCCCCCCCCTCCACCCCAAACAAGTGCTGTGAGGAATGGGAGGAAGGATAATATCTGTGCAGAAGGAGCACTGTTGGATTTAGAGAATCCTTCTCAAGGAAAAGGGGAAAAAACACCAAAACTGATGATTCCTACTAAGACTCCTGGTTTCATGCAGACAAACGGAGCGGACACCTCCTAAGAAGCTGATAAAAGAACATTAAGGAAAAGGGAGGGACTGTCTTTACGGCTGCCAGAATGTGCATGTGTTCTGCCTGCAATTTTCTATAAATCATCCCCAATCGCAGGAACAGAGCGCCTGGGCTTTGCAATCTTTGACGTACCATCAACGCCGAGACAGATAATTCACCTCTTTGTCTTTCAGCATTTTAAATTTAAGAACCAAGCAAACAAACAAACAAAAACAAAAGGGGGAATTAAAAAAAAAAAACCCACCAAACCTAAAATAACCAAAAATAAATTAAAAGAGAGCGAGAAAGAAAGAGCAACCCACAAAACACGTTGCTTCTGACCAGAAAGAAAGAAACTGGATCTTCATGGAGATAGTCTGGAAGTGTTTTCCCGCCCTATCCCCCCGGTCCTTGGGCGGGGGGGAGGGGGAGTCCATCCCTCGCCGGTGCCGGAGGAGCCCCCCGAGCCCCGGGGGGATGGCGGGGGGCTCCGGCGGCAGGAGCTGGGGGCGGCCGCAGGAACCGCGGCTCCGTGGGGCAGCGCTGGGGGCCACGGGGCGGGGGGCTTCTCCCCAAGGCTCCGGTGGTCCATAACTTCCTCCCCGCAGCCCTGCTGCCATCCCCAGGGCGCTCCGAGCGCCGCCGGGGACAGCCCGCAGCGAGGTGGACACGCCGGGCTCTGGAGAAGCGAACACCAGGAGAAAGAGGATGGGGGAGCCTCCCCGGAGACCCCCCGAGCCCTCGGACCGCTGGTTTGGCTCAGGAAAGGGCATTTGTGGCTACCGAGAGGAGGGGGGCGAGCCCGGGGGGGGCAGGACCCTCCGCGGGTGCTGGGAATGCGGGGGGACACTCCTGGCTCGCCCCGGTGCCGTGCCCGGCAATGAAGAGGTTAATCTTGCTGGCAGCCCCCTGGTCTTAATTAGCCCGGCGGGTTAAGTGTCCCATTAAGGGCCATGAAGATAGTTTGCTCCTCTCTGGGTGCTGGCGTTTGGGACGTCGGGCAGTGGCCGGGATGGCCGGGATTCCTCCGGGATGGAGCCCACGGCATCCCCGCTCCCCACCCGCGGGTGGGAAGGTGGAGGAGAATTTCGGCTTCTTTCTGCCTTCCCAACAAAGGTGGTGTCCCACCGCCGTGTTGGTTTGAAGCCACAGTAGAAAGGATGATCTTGGTTCGAAATAAAAGAAATGAAGCCTTCGCTCATTTGTCTGGTCCATGTTCCACCATGGAGCCAGGGGAACGAAAAGCGAGGGGTGAGGGGAAAAAAACCACAAAAACCCCCAAATCAACCAGACAACCGTTGGTTTTTCAACAAAAAACCAAACACAAACATCTTTCCAGCCTCTAGGATTGACTGCGTCTTTCCTCACGCAGGTAATCTGACCAGCCTGAGCTCGATCCCAAGCATTTCGTCCCTAAATCTGGGGCTGGCTGCAATGAGTCAGGTTTGCATGGCCATAGCTGTGTCCTGTTCCTGCAGCCCATGAAGGCAGCACAGTGAGCCCCAGGGCAGCAAGACCACAGGCAGAGGGGAGAGAAGACAGATGTGGAAAGACCAAGATGATGCTATTCTGAATTTCCTTTCCTCCTAGCCCATTCCCCCCAGCCAAAGCTATTTCTCCACGGGGTCTAATTTGCTTCTCAGGATGGCAAACTGGTAAATTTAGCATGGACAGTGAACACAGCCTTAGTGAGCAGGAGACATCAGGAAAGCAAGGTGGAAAATAAGACACTGAAAGCACAATCTTTGCACCTAGTCAGCAGTGAAGCACTGTTGTCAATGTCCACTCACAGACCTGGAAGAGGCTTCTCTTTTTTCCTTCCCAGATTTCTTCTTCCTTTTCCTACAATAAGTTTGTATGAACTTGTATTTATTCTCCTCTCCTTCACAGTTGTTTTATCCTACCAGAGCTAGGCTTCAGAATCCTTATGCAAGAGGTGAGTATTGTATCAGTCTGTCTGTAGAATATTATGTTCTCCAGCTCTTGAGAGAATTTCACTTTCCTGTCTAAAAAAGATTAGTAATGTGCTGATCTGACTTTTACTCTGGTAACTCTCATATTTTTTTAACCTCTAAGACTTTCCTTATTGGGAGAGGACTTTGAGGAGAAGCTAGTTGTCTGGAAGTGCTGAAGTCTTGCTCTGATCTATGAAAGACAAGGGACATCATCTCATCAAGAAAATTTTCTTTAAGCAAGTACTCTTGTAGATGGCAGTGTATTCAAAAAGGTTTACGTGTAAATAGTGCAAATCCAGGCTCTTAAGGACTCTTCAGTAAATTCTCCTATTAAAACATAAAACTTTTAACTAAATTTGAAATGCTTTTCTTCTAACCTGGCAGAACTCAGACTGGGATCTCCAAGAGCGAGCTCTTCACGGTGAGATCACTTTGTCTGCAAGCACACCCTAGAATGTAGTACACATGTTGAAAACCCATAGAAAGATGTGTTTTTATGTTGCTGAGAATGCTTAAGAGAAGTGCACTGGTGAGGACCATGCTGGGTATTGGAAGTCACTTCCTTCTCTGATAGATGCATAAGTGGCAATTATTAGAAATAGAGGTTTTGCTCCCTTAGGGGAGCTGAATCTTTAGCAGTCAAAATGCTCGAGTATACTCACAGTTGGGTTTTTATACCTGCCCCCAGTGTTCCTCAGAAACTCTTCACTAGGACCAGGGCTCAAGAAATCACTTTGCAAAGAGAACCAGTCCTTCTCCAAAACCTTTCAGTTGAGGTGTGAGACAGGAATAATGGATGTGTGGCGTTGGCAGGCTGTGGTAGACCGCAAGGTGGGTTTGGTGGGTGCCACAGGTCACACTTCCCCAGCCTCAGAACATGTCTGAAAGTGCAGGCAGCAGAAAAAACTTGCATTT